GTCATTYTTTTTTTTTTTTTTTTTTTTTTTTTTTTTTTGGTGGAAAGAACATCAGTGTCTGTGCATTTTTTTTTTTTTTTTTTTTTTTTTTTTTTTGTTGTGAATTGTATTATCTGGAGATAATTTTTTTTTTTTTTTTTTTTTTTTTTTTTTTCATACTTGGTCAGCTGTATTATTTCTTTTTTTTTTTTTTTTTTTTTTTTTTTTTTTTTAGGTAGTCCTGAAGGAAAATCCTGGTGTTTTTTTTTTTTTTTTTTTTTTTTTTTTTTTCTGTACAGATAGTTCCCACAGAAACAGTTTTTTTTTTTTTTTTTTTTTTTTTTTTTTTCAGCAAATTAAAAAGAAACAAACAAAATTTTTTTTTTTTTTTTTTTTTTTTTTTTTTTACCACTTTCTAACTTTTTGTACTCAAGTAGTACTGGGGAATATTGGCTAAGTAGATTCCCTTCAGACAGGTGGCAACCTCTCTCTTTTTTTTTTTTTTTTTTTTTTTTTTTTTTTTAAAACTGTCTTGAAAGGTGGACTAGCTTTTTTTTTTTTTTTTTTTTTTTTTTTTTTTTAGTTGATGCAGGGACCCCAAAAGGCCTTTTTTTTTTTTTTTTTTTTTTTTTTTTTTTTACCATTGTTCTGCCCTAAATCACCCCATTTTTTTTTTTTTTTTTTTTTTTTTTTTTTTTCCACCAAAACAAACACAAGAGGCCCGTTTTTTTTTTTTTTTTTTTTTTTTTTTTTTTCAACATAGTTTATTTTGATTTTAGCCATTTTTTTTTTTTTTTTTTTTTTTTTTTTTTTTCTATCTCCCAGTTGATATTTTTCTTTTTTTTTTTTTTTTTTTTTTTTTTTTTTTTTTGGCATTGTGAAGAGAAATTTATTTTTGTTTTTTTTTTTTTTTTTTTTTTTTTTTTTTTATTATGTCANTGTCATTGACGTCACACTGGAAATACATCTACTAAAGATTTCCTGGGTCTCTCAAACTGAGTTCTGGAATTTGTTACGTTCTTTTCTTAACTCAAGAAATAATTCTGGGGCTCTGTTGTTGTTTCACAAAAGCCCTTTAAAACCAAACTAGGTGGAAAAATCGCAATTCTCTTTTAAAAAGCCGCACCCACCCCTATTGTACCGTTTATTTCAAATCGTATTATCAGTATTTCATTCAAGCTCTGACGCCAGCACCCACTTTCACATTGAAACCATTACAGCGCTCCAAGCTGCGACCATTTTGGTCGCCACGACGAGTGAAAAAAATATTGGGCAACTAAAATTCTGGCGAAAGTCGCCAATTGGCGACCAACAGATTAAAAGAGTAACTTACTTGGAAAATTATCAACAATAGGACGAATTTAATCAATAGTACAAGCGGCGGCATCACCTACGTTTCTCTTTTCGCCTCTCGTCGTTCAGAAACTCGACTGCGTTAAAAAAATGGCAAATTCGATCGATTTGAAGGTACAATTGGCAATGCTACACGGTCTCAGCAGCTTTGTAATGTTGAAATAAATCGTTTTTGCTACTAGACAGTCTCTTCCTTTTCTTACTCTTACAGTAGCAAAGTTAAGTGATAAAAACGTGCCGTTCGCCGCATTAGCTCTTCGTGTAATATGTCATAAAGTGTCCTCCCCTTCTGGTTTTTTTTTTTTTTTTGGAGGGGGGTGACTGAATTTTTTTAATGGCGACCATTTTACAATTGAAGGTCGTGACTTTTTGAAAAATTGAGCCTGGAGCGCTGCATTAGTTAGGTCTTCTTATCACAAAGAGATTGTAAAACTGAGGTTTTGGGCGTTAGCCCTTTATAAGAGGGGCTAACACTCGAATTGTCAGCTTACAATATGTGATTCCATCATTGCTTCCTTGCTTTTATTTTAACAGATGATTCTGACACAAGAGCCCAGTTAGTAGCTGTGGGATTGTGGACGGACATTTCAGTGAGAGTTTTAAAACTGCCCAGCTGCGAACAACTGTTTGTTGAAATGCTGGGAGGAGGTGAGAATTGGATTGTATTGACAGGTCGTGTTAATTAGCCATTCTTTGATAAAATTAACAAATCGACAAATCGTGGTGTAGCGTGGTCAGTATGTATCCTTATCGACAACGATATTCGTCATCACAGTGGTCAAAATGTCCTGGATTCACAAAGTGCAGCCTATCGAGTCCACAACACCAACGATTCTTTCAGCGCGTGACACGTTGCGTGACATGTTGACGCAAGTACCGTGGTCTTTACTCTTATCGACAACAGCAAATTGGCCAATCGTATTGCGACATTACTGCCAATTGTCATTAAAAACCACTTTTAATTGATCCACTTTTAATTGTTAATCTTTCAGAAATAATTCCTCGCTCTATACTAAAGACATCTTTTGAGGGTATTCATTATCTTCTGTGCGCTCTGGGAGATGGAACCTTGTTTTACTTCACTATGGATCCAAACACTGGTATTTGTTGAATTATTTTTCTTTTTCAGTGATATAACTGGCTTTTGTGCATAATACATCGGTACTTAGTCCGCACTTATTCCACATAGTTCAAGGTGCAACACTAGGTCTTCCATGTGGTTTCTGGGCACCCAACTAGTTTGGCTCTGTAGTTATGTTGGGTGCCATGGTTCTATATTTATTGATTCTCAACTTTTTTCTGTGCTCAAAATATCAAATGCGCCACATGTATACTTGCTCTAAAGAGCGGTTCATGGCTCAGGTAGGGGGCGGGGAGGAAGGAGGTGACAATACTCCCCATTTGAAATGATGGTTACTTGTCGAACCTTTAAGGAGTGACATTGCTGAAGTGGTTCCGCTGTGGGCGCCAAATCCTAAATTTATCGCTGCTATTGTTGAAGCTGTTGCAACCGCCCCTTGTTGAAGGGGCAGGGGAAGATGAGAGACCCTGGGAACGAGGTTGAAGCAGTTGATCATCGGGGTAGTTTAGGTTATCGATCTGAAAAATGACAGGAACTTCGAAAAATTCTTTACCACTTTTAAAATCATTGCCGTTTGTCTTTGGCTTTTGTAGGATCTTTGTCTGAAAGGAAGAAAGTAACCCTCGGTACACAGCCTACGATGCTTAGAACGTTCAAGTCACTGTCAACCACAAATGTGTTCGCTTGCTCTGATCGACCGACAGTGATCTATTCCAGCAATCACAAACTTGTGTTCTCCAACGTTAATCTGAAGGTGAGCGCATGGTCTGCTTATTGCTCTACAATACATTCACTAAAAACAGGATCCTTCAGAGTGCTACACAACCACACGAAGACGTGAATCTTATTTCCAAGTGTAAAATCAGACGATCGCAGCGAAAGAGTTAACTAGTATCATTAGCTTTTGCAAAGAGTCTGAGGCTAAAAACGTGATGAAATCTGCGAAATGAAATACGTGTCTTATGCAACAAAAATGGTTCTGCACGTCAAACTCAGATTGAGATTTTATTCCTTACTTACTCACTTACTCGAAGCTTTACCATACACGAAAATTTTCTTTAAAAAATATGGATAGACTTCGAGCTATTACACTTTCTTGTGCTGTTTTGATGCTGATCTCATATTTCGTCAACAGGAAGTGAATTATATGTGTCCACTGAACTCCGAGGGATTCCCAGACAGGTAAAGATTCATTGGTAGACTTACACTGGTAGAGTTAACAACTATTAAAGAGGATTTCCGCCTAGCATAAACTCTATGAGGTTTCTTCCATTAAGGTTTTCTTCCTTTGAACTGCATTGAGCAAAATGGTATATAAGAGAGGACCTTGGAGAGTCGCCTACCTTCCCTCCCCCCGAGGGTCGTCTGCCCTTCCTCCCCTGCACTAACCCCTCAGTCCTATTTAAGTGCTGTGGTTTGTGATAAATTAAGCGGGATTGTTATGTTTTTCGGGGATATTTCGATTCATAAATTGAGAGTTTTTTTCTCTGTTCCACAGTCTAGCTGTGGCCAGCGAAGGAGCGTTAACAATAGGAACTATTGACGAAATTCAGAAGCTTCACATTCGGACAGTTCCATTGGGGGAAACGCCAAGGTACAGAAGAGTGAGCTTAAAGATCGAGTCTGATTGTTAATTCTCCCATCTGGCTGCTATACATTCTTTTGTAAATTACTTACAAGAATTTGGTGTTAGATCAAGATAACAATTCCTACTTGATATGTTTGAGTATTCTCGTCACCTATTTGCTGGATAATGTATGGATATTATAGGGAGAAGTTACATGTTAATCACTTCTGGGAGTTAAAGATTATAGTGGATGCGATGTCATTGTGAGGTGATAGAGTTTGTCTTCCTTAAAAAATGTAGCGAGTAATTCCTATGGATGGAAGAAGCGTCGTGTGAAAAACTAGTGGCAGGTCATGAAAGGAAAAGACAAACGCTATTCTGACCCATGCGGCTATCGGAATGTTGACCATAGCTATTCTTTAAAGCAAATTAAATCGGTATACCTGTCTTGTAATCCAGTCCTTATCAATAATCTGTCGTTTGTACGTATTCGCATAATAGTGGTTTGATCTAAGCCCTTTACGCTCTAACATCAGTGTGCATATTCTCCATACTGTACTCTCTACATTTCCTAAGGTGCTGACAAAGAGAATTTAACGTATATATGCACGATCCTTCGCAGTAAAGCACTATTTGAGCAATAGTGAAAATCAGACCTGAAAAAAATTTCAGGCCTGTACGGGATTCGAACCACTGACCTCTGCGATACTAGTGCAGCGCTCTACCAATTGAGCTAACAAGCCAATTGGGAGCAGGCCATCAAATTAATTCGACATAAACCCGTAGATGATAAATCAAACAACAACAGACATATGAAACATATGTATGAACTGCGGTTATGAAACGTATATATGCACGATCCTTCGCATATACATATGTCATATACATATCATACATATGTTTCATATGTCTGTTGTTGTTTAAAGAGAATTTATTTAACAATCAAGAGCTTCTTTAGTTGGTGATCATTTCCTTTATTCTCATGACCTCAGTGTGTGATATTGTCAGGAGAAATTAGATGTTAGTCATTCGTAGTGGTCAAAGGGATAATGGCGCATGATATTGAAAAAAGCGGAGACGAGAAGTGCTTTCACTTGTGTCTGTCTCACGTGTTAAGTCGGCGAGCTGTGCAGTTGTCATGGCAGGGCTGTAGTCTAGCAGCGCCCCGTAGCCCCTGGCACCTTTACTTTTGCTCTTGGGTGACTTGGGAATTTTAGTTTTTTCATATAAAAACATATGCTTGGCACCCTATATTTCAAAGTTTCAGAGCACTGGGCTCCCTTCAGTTTTTCCAAGGGCACAGCTTAGCCCTCATAAAAATGTGTCACCATCGTCTTGGAGAGGAAAGGGTAAAAGAGAGATGGGGGGTAGGGAGGGGAAAGAAAAGTTTGTATACTTTCCTTACCCCTGTCCCACCGTCTTTTACGGAAATCAAACATGGCTGAGGAAATACAAGCTTGTTTATTGCATCATTTGTAGTGTACCGTCCCTTACGAAGTACTCGTTTTTTTCTTTAGGCGTATAGCTTATCAAGAGTCTACCCAAACATTTGGTGTTATCTCCATGCGAATAGAGGTCCTGGATCCGACGTCAAACACAACGCGACCCCTCCACCCCAGCGCAAGCACAATGGCTCAGAATATAACGACCAGTGTATCATCAGGCATGCCGGGCACTTCCGCCGGAAGTTCAGCCGGTGGTAGGGGTGTGGCAGACGGCATAACATTCGGTGACGAGGTGGATAGAAGCAGTTTGTTGATCATCGACCAACACACGTTTGAAGGTAATGGTAACTTCAAGAAACACTTAGGTACAGACCAATCTATATCACGATTGGCGCGTAAGAATGGGCCCGAGCTCTTTTGCGCTTTTTCGGATCTCATTAGGGGCTGGCAGTGGGAAATTGTTCTGTGTTCGAACATTTATTTTAATAATTTTCAATTTTTTTTCTTTCATTTTATTGTTCTTCTTTGACATATTTTTCATCCTCACTCGGTTTACTCTTTGGTTTTGGCATTCTCTGTGTCCGAATATTACTCTATGAGCAATATTGTTTTTGTTATTTATCGTGCATCAAGATTTTAAAGATTTTTCACCCCCCCCCTCCTCTAAAAGTACATGTATCGTCCCCCCTTCCTCTAAAAGTACATGTTTCGTCTCCCCCTTCCGCTAAAAGTACATGTTTCGTTCCCCCCCCCCCTTCCGCTAAAAGTGCATGTTTCATCCCTTGTTGCTGCAAGCGTGACAAAAAAGCAGTTGTGGATTTACTCCCGAAAAAATTCAAAAGCGCTTAAAAGGTATGAATTGGGGTAAATCACCTACGTCTTCCTTTAGGTAGAAAGATCGCGACAATTTTGACTCGTTAAATTTTGTCTTTCTGGTCTCCTCGCATCAGTGACTCATGCTCACGATCTTCAAGATCACGAGTGCGCTACAAGCCTGATCTCTTGCACATTATCTGGCGACCCAAACAGCTCCTACACGAGTGGAATGTCTAACACGTATTACTGTGTTGGAACTGCGTATGTCCACCCTGAAGAACCTGAACCAAAGACGGGACGGTTGATCTTATTCCAGCTGTTGGAAGGTGATTGTGGTTTACGAAAGTCATTCATTCAGTTAATTAGTTAGTCAGTTAGTCAGTCAGTCAGATAATTAATCAGCCAGTCGGTCAGTTAGTCAGTCTGCTTATCAGTCAGTGAATCTTTCAGTGGGTCAGTCAGCCGGCCAGCCGGCCAGCCAGCCAGCCAGCCAGCCAGCCAGCCAGCCAGCCAGCCAGCCAGTCGGTGGGTCAGTTAGTTAGTCCGTCGGTCCAGGGAGCTAGTTAGGCAGGAATTTAGTCAAGCAGGGAATCAGTCAGTAAGCCACTCAGTCAGTTAGTCAGACAGACAGACAAACAGTCAGTTTGATTTAATAGGTGATCAGCGAGAGAAAGGTCTTTTTTTTTTTACTTTGAAAGGTTGGGGCAGCTTCAAAGTACTTTTACAATGAATCCCTTGATGAGAAGACCATCAAAGTCTTAGATAATCTGAATGTCCTTCTTTTGTCTTATATTCTCCAGGAAAACTTGTCCAAGTCGCTGAAAAAGAGGTCAAAGGTGCCGTGTACTCACTGGTAGAGTTCAACGGGAAAGTGTTGGCCGGTATCAACAGCACGGTAAGCTTACGAAAACTCGTGTAAAAAGACTAATGTCTTTCCTCTCTGTTTGTCGATCACAATTCCTCCCCTTCCCTACCCCCTCCCTTTTCCCTTTTCTCTCTATCCCTCTTCTCCCTCCCCCCCCTCCTTCCCTCCCCTTTTCAATTCTCCCTTCCCTGACCCCCCGTCCCTCCTTCTCTGTCCTTAACGAGTGCGTTCGGAACTAAAAATTAAAAAAGCAAATAATGTTTAACTTTTTGATAATTTGGAATAGGATTTACTGTGATATTTTTATTAATAAGTCTGTAAATAGGTTTTTAATTTATTCATATTTTATTACCAGTGGGATCTTTTTAATTATTTAATATTTTGAATTGTAAAGCGCTTTGGTCAATTTGTGGAGTTAGCGCTATATAAATGATGTTGAATTAAATTAAATTAAATTAAATTAAATAAATGCCAAGTAATGAAGTCATATGAACTACAGCCTGGTTCAACTATCATTACTTGAGGCAAGATTGTGGATGCCCTCGAGACACACAGATAGTGATTCTACTCGTTTCAACAGGTCAGTATATTTGAGTGGACGGCTGACAAAGAATTACGCGTAGAGTGCAGCTTTTTGAACAACATCTTGGCTTTATATCTCAAGTATAAAGGGGATTTTATTTTGGTAAGTAGCCAGCCATAACAGCATTTTAGGCCTTACTGTACTTAAAGCATTGATAAGGGTTTTTGATCACCTTGCAGAACATGACGCAAACAATAACCTGAAAAATAAGTATGATAAAGATCTCTTCGCTCCATTTCAAATAAAACCCCAGCTATGATTTCAACTAGTTCAGTAGTGGTTAAATGTTAATTGTCTTCGCTTCTTCTGTTCTAATTTTTAAAGTGTTTTCCTTTTTTTTGTTTGAAAGGTGGGTGATTTAATGAGGTCTATGACACTGCTGACTTACAAAGCAATGGAAGGAAGCCTAGAACAGGTGACTGTGATGACATGAACGTGTTTTAGATTATCCAAGGGATAGCGTTCGTTTTAGGATAATTGCAATTTTTCTATTTTTGGTAAGAGTTTATGTTGTGAGAAAATCTTTCATTCATTTAGTGTGATGCCTCCTGAAACTGGGCGCATGGGACATGTTTCCCTTGTGTCTCACTCATTGTTTAAACAATTTTCAGTTTAGCGTTGAAATAAATTTCAGATTGCATTGGTATCCCTTACTGCAATCTGTGATTGGTGCAGACAACTCACGGCACCCTTTCAACCAATCAAATGTAAAACAAAATTTAATCGAGTCTTGTTGGCTAACGTTATCCTGCCCTTAACAAAACAGTTAAATTTACCTTTTTATGGCTCTCTGTGTGATATTTTATCACTTATTTTGTTAACCACCGCGATAAATTTGGCCCTGATTTACGACACGTAATTGACATGCGTTCAGACCAAAACCCACATTAAACAATTTAGGATGTAATACGTTTTGGGTCCAGAGGAGCTCGTCGATCACGTAAACACTCACTTCATTGGTCTCTTTTCCTTGTGATCAGATTGCGCACGACTACAGTCCAAACTGGATGACAGCTGTAGAGATCCTGGACGATGATACCTTCCTTGGGGCTGAAAATTCTTTTAACCTGTTCACCTGCCAAAAAGACAGCGGCTCCGCAGCTGATGATGACAGATCGTATCTCCAGGAAGCTGGGCAGTTTCATCTTGGCGAGTTTGTTAACGTCTTTAGACACGGTAGGTGTACTCATATCCCGCGGGGGACTGAGAGGGACTAAGGGCAGGGCTCGACACTAACGGTAGCCCACTAGCTACAAACTAGTAGAAATTCAGTTTTGGCCAGTGGTTTTGATTTCCACCGGCCAGTTTGGCTAGTAAACAAACTGAAATTGTCGTAGCATCCAAGATATCACTAGCCACTTGTCTAGTAATTTGAAAAGTTAGTGTAGTGCGAGCCCTGGAAGCGGCTGGCCCTTTTTGCACACCACTTTTCGTCCCAAAAATTAAAAAAAAAATGACTTTCATGTACTTACAAAATTTGTTTCAATGAACCCTACAAAGGTTCTCTTGTCATGGAACATCCCGGTGAAGCGTCGACCCCTTTCCAAGGCTGTGTCCTTTTTGGAACCGTGAATGGAACAATTGGTAAGATTTTTTTCTCTTGGTCATCCCTTTTCCAGCGTAATCCTTTTATTTTCAGAATTGATGATCGTGTAACTTCTCCATACGATATCAAGGCACTATCTTGCAAAATAGTGATGAGAATAGACAACGAATCAGCTGGGGGGGGAGGGGGGGAAGGATGGGGGGTGTTTTTTTTTTACATGATACCAAATTCTCATTTTTGATGTAGAGGGAAATTTTTAACCGCCAGAACAGAGAATTGCAATTTAGATCCTGTTAGTTAAAAACAATTTTAGACCAGGTACAGATGTTCGCGTTTCAGTTAAGACTTGAGAAGGTTGTTCTGATGTTTCACGGGTGCTTCAACGGCTATTTCACAGGCTTTCTTTGTACTGTTTACGAAGTGTTTGCATGTTTTGTGCGTTTTGTGCGTTTTGTGCCTTTATCTGGGTCGAAGCCGGAGGAAATCCCGAGGTGTATGACTTTGATTGTAAATATCCCAGCGTCTTTTCCAGGCTTCATCCGTCGCAGTGTCGGTGGATAATAACTTACTAATAGTAATAATAATAATAATAATAATAATAATAATAATAATAATTTACTTAATAATAATTTACTTTTCGAATCATTTGATATGTATGTGGTGGTAATACACAGGAATCGTCGCCCAGTTACCTCAAGAACTGAGCGCTTTTTTGACGCAAGTTCAGGGGAAACTTAGCAAAGTTATCAAGAGCGTCGGAAAGATTGACCACAGCTTATATCCTTTGTAACTTTTACCAACGCGTGACGCTCTTTTATAAGCTCTAAGTTAAACATGATTATAAACTGAAAAACATCGGCGGATGTCAGAAATTTCGTGGGCTCGCGCTGGAAACTATAGCAACTTGAGATTGGTATGGCAGAAGTTTTGAGAAATTGAAAAGCGGGGCGGGTTTTCTCCCAAGGTTAAGACGCTTTAAGAGGTTAAGCTTGAAGATTTCGTTAGAGACTGTCCTTTAACAGGAACTTTAACTATCTTTTGCACAGCATAAATTTTAACCTCGCAAACTTCCTTTAATTTGGCGACGAACCGTTGTATTTTGATCTAACGAGCTGCTGGGTTTAATAACTTAAGGACGTGCATGAACCTATAATGCAGGGCTCGACACTAACGGTAGCACTTACTAGCCAAGTGGCTACTGACATCTTAGATGTTTTTAGATGTTACGACAATTTCAGTTTGTTTACTTGCCAAACTGGCTAGTGGAAATTGAAAACCACTAGCCATAACTGAATTTCTACTAGTCTGTGGCTAGTGGGCTACCGTTAGTGTCGAGCCCTGATTTAATGGTTTAATGGTTGTGTAGTCACCTGGCTCTTGTGGGGACGTTGACATCATTATAAGTTGCGTTTTCCCAAACTATGTATTATCTATAGATTCAATAACAACTAATTACGTGTTGATCACTGTTGATGTAAAATGAGTTCATGATTTGCATGGCTTCCTTTACTACTTCTTACCTGGCGCTGCTTTTCCAACGAACGGAGAGTTGAGCCTGCCACTGGCTTTGTGGACGGAGATTTGATCGAAAGTTTCTTGGACCTTCCGCGGTCCAGTATGGAGGAGGTTGTCTCGGGACTGCAAGTGAGTTATGTGAGGCAATGTTGGGTGCTGCTGATATTTTTGCACACGTTTTGTCAGCACCAGGAAAATTTCCTTTGGAAGATTTTTAAATATAGAAAGAATATCTGCGACTAACGAAATTTAAAGGCTGCAGGGTAGGTTTGTTAGAAAACTTCCAGAGGTCTGCCCTTGACATGCATTGGAATAGCATCCCTTCCGGGGAGAGGAGCAGTAATCGGCATTAACATCACAAACGTACTACATAGAACAATGTAACTTTACCGACGGATCGAAACTGATCAGTCACGACCTTCTTACGCCACGCGAGACTTACAGCCAATAACGTCACGGCGTAACTGACCAAACAATTTATAACGAACCTGACTCAGTATATTCGACTGAAAACAACTATAGACTTGGCTCTGATGATAACTTCCGCTCAGGTTGTGGAAACGTCAGTCGCTACTACCGACACCAGTCCTTTTCAGGACTACACTCACCCGGACGATCAGACTACACGTACTATTACGCAGTACTCCTACAGAAATTAGGATAAGCTCCGGCCATATGTAGTACTTGGTAGGTGTTACGACTTCACCTTACCCTTCTATACGAGGGCAAAGTATTTGTGCTTATTGGTTGTCTTCTTGTCAACAGATTGATGATGGTAGTGGTATGAAGAAAGAGTGTGCTGTGGAGGATCTCGTGAAAGTTGTCGAAGAGCTAACACGGATCCATTAGAAGACTGTCTTGCCCCCTTCCTCTAGAAGATATTTAATAACTGGATTACACGTATGTACATGTCAAAGTTCTACCATGGAAACCATTGTATATACTTCATTATATTATCGTGCGAGGGTTGATGTCAGCTTGTCCAGTCAGCAACTAAGGGAAACGTGCAATAAGATAATCACGAGATTCGGAAGGGATTTTTCGTAGTCTTCTAGGGAACCAATGGCTTTGATCGTTTTAAGTCTTAAAGGCAAATCATTCTTATATTACTGAATAGCAACTTGAGATAAAGTGATGCTCTATCAGCATGTGTTGTCTTTATTGTATGTTGTATCATAAAGAAGGAATAAGAAATTGGCAGAAACTCAGTTTGATTGTCATTACTTATACCGCAAACAGGCGAAGATTTCTCTTTTGTTCTGTTTGAACTTTCGATCTCTTGGTGTTCAAGTGAATGTTTTAAAGCTAGGAATACCCTCCTAATGAGCCCGCGATTGGACCAGATACATTGCGAAGCGACACAGAGTCGCTATAGTTACCATGTTGATATTACTTTTAGCTTCCAGTATCAAGTGAAAAAAAACTGAGTGGTTTTTAAAACTGCTTCTACAAGAAGTACTTGCCTGAATTTATTTTTTTTAAGAACGAAACTTTTTTTTTTTCCCTTATAAGGATTTATTGAAGTTGTCACAAATAATTTATAATGTATGTAAATTTGCTCGTTTAATAAAACTCTTTAAATGTGAATTTTTAAGAAAAGTTTATGTCGAGTGCTGCAGTAAGCCGTGTAGTAGTGTTCATAACATTTCTTGGGTAGCAAATATAAAATGGTGGTAGGTATTTTGGGTGTAAATTGGCAAGATTATTTCTAATCTAACCTAAATGTCTGATCTGCAAAGGGCAATACAGCCCATCTTCAGCAGATATACCCACCCATCTCATCCCAGGGGAGGACATCCATCTCGTGCGTGGGAAATTAACGCCTGCAGGAGACGGGACCCACGGTTTATTCGTCCTTATCCGAGAAGACTAGAATATCTATCCATTTCTTGATATTATGGAAAGGTAGCACATTCTCCTCAGTTATTTTAAGACCCTGAATGTTGGTCCGGCCGGGGCTTGAACCCTCGACCTCCCGCACAACAGTCTGGCGCTCTACCAATACTCCATTTTCGAATTCCCGCCACAATTCGGTCACAGTCTCCTTCGCGGCTGGCCGAGTCGTCAGATTGAGGCTAACACAGCGTGCTTCGTGTAGTTTTCCTAGCAAACTGTTGTTTACAACTTCACACATGACTTCAAGTGATAATTTTAGCAATCTAAATCATTTCAAATCTATAAAAGATTTAAGAAAACTCAAAGTAGAAGAGCTGAAGGCGATCTTGAGGAATTTTGGCGAGCCAACAAGCGGAATAAACAACTTGGCACCGTCGTACATTTGTGATTTGCGTACATCTTACACCCCATCGCGTCAACTACGCTCATCATGCAAGCACCTTCTGGTTTCTCCATCTTATAACTTGAAAACATATGGCACACGATCCTTCTCTGTAGCAGCACCATCATTATGGAATGCTTTGCCAAGTGAAATTAGAAATGCTCAGTCTGTGTCTTTTTAAAAGTAGATTAAAAACTTTTCTTTTTAGAAAAGCCTTTTATAATTAATATTAGCTGTCTTAAGTGTTAATGTTAAAGTTTTTTGTAGGCGCCTTTGAACAGTAGGATACTGGCGCGGTATAAATCTTTTATTATTATTATTGTTATTATTATTATTATTATTATTATTATTANAATTTATAACATAACCAAAGTAAAGCGCGCGCTCTGATTGGTCAATTTAGCGTCCCCCATTTGCCCATGGGTGTACGCTGCTGACGTGAGCAAATGCAAAGACTATTTTTCCGCGCGCGCTTGTTTTTTCTGGTCACGTAAGATTTGTTAAATAAAAGGGAACTCTTTAGCTACAATGTATCAATGTTATGTTATAAAACAAATGGTAAACACCACAGCGTACACTATTGAGTTATGGATGCACTTGGGAGGTTTGCTAAGCACTCAAGAAGCTAGAGTCGCTCTCGGCTATCGCCTCGAGCGACTCTTACGCTTCTTTCGTGCTTAGCAACCTCCCGCGTGCACCATAACTCAATAGTGTACGCTGTAGTGTTTACCATTTGTTAATTATTAGCTTCCCTAATGATTAATTCTTAAGTAACATCAGCTGTATATGATGTATAAGGCACAGAATCGTTGTTTGTATCAATCAAAGGACCGGCTTTAGATCGTTCGACAAGAACAAAGCAACGCAGGACAAGATCTTCTTTTTTTTCCGCTTGTTGGCTCGCCAAACTTCCTCAAGATTGCCTTCAGCCCTTCTACTTTGAGTTTTCTTAAATCGTTTATAGATTTTAAATGATTTAGATTGCTAAAATTATCGCTTGAAGTCATGTGTGAAGTTGTAAACAACAGTTTGCTAGGAAATCTACACGAAGCACGCTGTGTTAGCCTCAATCTGACGACTCGGCCAGCCGCGAAGGAGACTGTGACCGAATTGTGGCGGGAATTCGAAAATGGAGTATTGAGCTAACCAGGATTATAACCTTAACTGCGGACTTTCCTTGAGTGTGAACTTTTAAATAGCTTGGGATGCTTTTGTGCGAAAGATTAGATCTCTGAATTTCGTTTTTAAAAATCTTTGGCCTTATTAAGAGCTGCTCGTTTAAAAAAAAAATAATATTCTACACGATGATAAGCGATAAAACTATCACCCCACCTGATAACCAAAACGATTGAACGAAATTTTACAATACAACAAGAATGCTTCTCTGGCTTGAACATTCGTCTTAAATCGCTGTCTTTTCCTTCTAACCCTTTAACCTCAAAGATCTGATGGTCAAATTTCCCCTCCAGCTGCTACACATTTCCTTGTAATTTAGTCACAAGATTTTGGTGTTAGATCAAGGCAACAACTTCTACCTAAAGTGTGAGTATTCTCATAACCTGTTTGGTGGATAATGTATGGATATCATAAGGAGAAGTTACATTTTAATCACTTCTGAGATGATTTATAGGGTTAATAGCTTCCTTCACCATCAGTTTGTTGGTACTTGACCAGCTTTAGTTTACAGACCATTACAAGTCGGTTTCTAAGATGACTGTTGTCAGGCGAGTGTGGACTTCATTGTTCTGAGTTTCCTCCCCTGAAAGTGTTCAAGTCGAGATGCACTATATATATTCTCGCTGTTTTGACTCTAGCACAGTGTCGCTTCACAATTAACTTTTGCATGGCTTAGTAAGATTCATACATCACAATGTAGCTTGTTCAGGAGTAATACAAGTACAAGCGCGTTCCATTCCTTATCTTATTTTGTTTAAGCGTGGTGTTCACAAATCTGTACTCCGCTTTTGTCATCGGGTTAAACAGCATGAGAGAATTTGACCGGCTCCTACACGGGTAATTTTCCTTATGAAGGGCCATTTTGCGTGACCTGTGGAAAATGGTACACAGCTGGTCCATCAGGTACTTAATCGTGTCTCTGTCCTGAACACCAAGCGTCACCTGTTCCCGTGGTACCCAGTACTCTTTACTTTCGGAGCTGGCATGGACAATAAGTAGCTCTTCGATTGAAAATGAATCAATTAGCTGTAAACACGATTTACGATTTATGACTTAACCCTTTGGTTTGTAAGAGTGACCAGTGACTTATTTCTCCCCATAGTATTACAACTGAATCAAACGTAAAGGTCACGAGAATTTAGGGATTGATCACCAAGTAAAGAAGTCCTTGATTGTTAAAGAATTTCCCCTTCTCGTTTCCACAGGAAATTTGTAGAGAATCGTATGGAGAATATGCACACTGATGTTAATGTGGAAAGGGTTGAGTATAATGTGCATTAGCAAATCCAAGGTCGCTCGTGTAGATAAGGAGGCTCTTCTTGAGACAAACCATAATACTTTGTTATTTTCAAGTAAAACAATAGCTTAAAAATACCTACTCATACGAAATCATTTCCAAGTAGCATGGACTTCCCCTTACTTACCTTAAATTTAATTCGTCGATTGTGAACAGTTTGGCCTGGAGTTTTAACTAGCTTGGGGAGTTAAATACTTAACATTATCGTCACTTTGTCGGGTATTGTGGCTCCGGCATTCTGCGGGCTGAAATTGAGGTTTTGGTGGGTTGAAATGTGTTTTAGCCCGCTCGCACGCTCACGTGATTGTCCGGACACTTTTGTTGACACTTTTTTCAGTTTTTTTTTTTCCGTCGTCATTCAAAGTGATAACGTTAGTAATACAGTTTATATTCTCGCGGACAAATATTTTTGGGTCCTTCTCAGAGTCATTTTGACCCTCGCCTAGCGGCTCACTTAAAAAAGACTCTCAGTAGGGCCCAAAACCTATTCATGCTAAAACCCAAAACCTATTCATGCCAAAACCTATTCACGCCGTTTTATCAGTGGCTTCCTTCTAACTCGCCACCGAAAAATCTTTGGTTTTACTGAGTCTGACCAGCAGAGTAACGAAAAGCAACTGGACCGGTTCTAAGCTCGCCACTAACCTGTTGCCACCTGATCACAAATTGAAAGAATGAAAATTGTAGAACGCATGAGGGATCCTCTGCTCGCTGAACGATTCGTTGATACTCTGTTTCGCATTTTTTTCGATGTTAGAAAGAAATATGAAAAGAAAGGCCCAGTTGAGCAAAACTCAAAATGAAAGAGTAAACACTGATACTGCAGTTAACACTGACAGCCAATCGTAACAAATCTTCCGTTTGCCTTGTCGTGTATCTGTCATGATCTGTTCCTATCGTTTAAACTTGTCAATTTTTCGGTATCAAAATCTGAGAGTTTCTCGAAATCCTTAAGGGAGTTGCTAACATTTTATATGTCAGGTCCCTTTCTTACTATTCGCACAGCGTTTCTCATCCCGTTTGGCCATTCGCCGCTCCCAAAACCAAACGGCGTCAGTTTTGTGGTCACCGAAGAAAATGAAGTCGGAATCTTTTAGAGGAACAGGTTTGGTGACGAAACGTAACGTGACAGTCACAAATGGAAACTGTTTCGGGCTCCTCTTTTGTGAGTTTAGATTAGTTTTTGAGGACTGAGGCACCATTTCTTTTCCAATGTATGCATGTTAGTATTTACCCCTCCCTTCCCCTCCCCCCTAAGAGTGACCAGCATCTAATTTCTCCTTACAGTACCACCCCTGATTCAAAAATTAAGGTCACGAGATTAAAGAAGCTCTTGATTGTTAAACAAAATCTCCTTGTCAGCACCATAGGAAATGTATAACGAACTGTATGGAGAATATGCATACTGATGTTAGGGTGTAAAGGGTTAATGCGACAAAGAGTCAACCGTTGATTTTGCAATTCAGGAACGACGCCACTGTTGGGCCAACGTTTTTGAGAGATTAGCGGGTCGTTTTCTCTCACTAAACGCGCTGTGAACCCTGCATTGCATCTAAACAAAACTCTTCTTTTTTTTTTTGTAATCATAGTTAAATTTCTGTAATGTGATTATGCTTAATATGACTTTCCTGTGGTTTTCCGTTCGTGATTGGGTTCATTCAATTTCCTGATCAATAGGGGCGATCTAAGCTCCTAATACCGAACTACTGTGACGATTTTAGGCACAGATCACGCAAGGTTTGATTCCGCTAATAATGACTTACCTCCAAAACCAAAATTGGCAAGGCATGATTCTAACGGGAAAGTCAATACCTCATACCTGCAAAAAAGACGTGTAGTGGCTGGCTACCAAGCAAAATGATAATAATTATTAGGAGGAGCCACTGACCCCAATATTACGCTGTGTCCTTAAAGCTGAAGTGAACCAAACTCACCGTGCTCTACATTCTATAAAGTAACGCTTGTTCAACTCTCGGAAAGGTTGCATGCATGGTTTCAAAAAGTTTACCCGAATGCAATCTGTCTTTTAAAATCATCTCCAATTTAGCCCACCGGCCAAGGCATCATTTACTTTACTGAATTCCAAGTCGGTATTTATTATTGTAAAACTAAATCAATTCTTGGGCAATAATTGGGCTTTTGAATTTACAAAACTGGTTGAGCCAAAGATTGTCACAATCAGGTTCGATTATGGTATTGATAGGACTGTATAGCGGATGAAGGAGCCAATTTGGCCAGAACCTATATTTGCTTAGGTTCCGAATTTAAAGGTTTTAAATGTGAAGTTTCACTGTCCAAAAGTACCATGTGAAAGTAGCTCAACTGGTATCTAAAAGTTAAATTGTTTTTTAGACTTCTAGCTTATTGAACCTAAAACTTGCTGACACCCATTTGGTCCTAATTAAAAGGTTCTAAAAAGCCTCTTAAAAGTCAATCATCAATCATCAATCTTGGAAGATATTCGCTTTAGAGATGACTGTAAATCAAGTATTAAATAAAGGGTACAAAACTAGAAATTGAACAGCAGGATGAAAAAAAGTGTAATGAAGTGAAGTATATCAAAGTAATTTCTGAACTAATTTGAGATGGACTTTGGTGTGGCTTTTCGTGTTGTTGTGTTTCGAGTGCTCGGTTCATTGTATACTGGTGTCTTGTCGATGAACCAAACTTATCTGTGTATGACAAATTATGTGTGTATGACAAATTATATTTGTCATAGCTTTATCATCCCAGAAAAGTGCCAGAAATTGAAACTGCGTCTTTCAAAATTACCGGCTTTGGAAAGAAAAAGAATAAAAAATGAATTTAACACTGCTGTCCACACAAAGAGCAGGCTATACTAAAGAGCTTGCTTACTAAAAGTATTTACAACTGATTGAAGAGGTTTAAATTTTGAAAGAATCAGCAACACAACAAGTTCATTTGGAATACTTTTGTTTTTAAAAGGAGTTAGAAGAAGAAATTGAGAAGCTATGAGGAATCCCTTTTCATTGCGCTAACAAAACCGCGGAAATTCCATCTTTTTCTGACCGCATGAGGCGAAAGACCAAAAAAAGAGGATATCAATTGCAAACAGAACTCATTTAGGAAAAGAAACTTGAAAGACTAGATTAATAAATAGAGAAGGCAAGAAAGTTAAGATGGTTTGGTGTACGTCGAAAAAATATTGAAATTATTGTACTCCTTTCCGTTAGCCAATGAAATACTTGCATTTATGCACGTGTTTACTAAAAGTACGAACAATGATCAATTGAACACGTAAACAAATCGCCGCATGCATGGGAGCAAATGAGACACAACTAAACTGGCTCTAAACTTTCGCCTTCAGGCCTTTAATGACTTGATGATCGTTCCAGTTTATTGTCTTTCTCTTAAGTGCCTGAGTGTTGCAAATAAACACCTTTCCACGAACGAGATCAATTTCCCTTGCTCCATCCTACGCTTGAGAAGTGGTCTTTTCGTCTGAAAGCGAATTAGCACCACTTGATACTTATCTGCCATATCGTTGGAGGGTCAAAGCCCTTTTCAACTTCCTCACGATATATGAAATTTAGAAATATACGTTATAGGCTGCTTTTCCTTCCAGATGTTTCGATAAATCTGTCTGATTCCTTTTCTCGTGGGATGTTATCTTAAAGTATTTTAGTCAACAGAGCGAACTTCGTTCTATATGTTAGTGGGTAGATAAATATTCTGCGGTCCGCTTGCAGCAGGTGTTAACAGCTCGTAGCTAATAAACCAGTGGTAAAGTTTAGGTAATATTTTTTTTTATCCTCTTCTGTCTGGCCGCTTTGGTTTTTTATCGGATACATTTTCTTAAATTCCTACTTTTATAGAAGGTTCAGTCTCTTGGCGTGTGTTTTAGGCCGCGAAAAGCATTAAAAAAATACAGGACGCAGAAATTTATGGAAACAAGTTTTCGCAGTTTTTAATTATTTATAATTTATTTTTCAAATATTCTCTGAACTACACCTCGGTATGCCTGAAAGTCGATTACAACAAGAATTACTGATAAATTTGTCTCTGATCGCGAATTCGTATGGTGGTCGTTTTCTTTCGATTCAATAGACCGTATTTTTGTGCGGGTTGTTTTGTTTTAAGTGTAGTAAGGCTATCTTTAGTGCCTGACTAACTTCCTTTCAAACAATGCTTTGTTTAGCAACTTGAATAAAATTGTCGCATCAAGATCGACGCGTCGCCAATCACTTTTTCAAGATCATTAAGTACAGACTCAGAACAGAAAATAAAAATGTTGCCTTCGAGTCCTTACCAATCATATTTTTCGACTCTGTCTCCCTCCTCGTTTATCGCTCAAAGCGAACGATTAACATATTCGAACAAGAAAAATAATAGCTCCTAAATAAACATTTGAAGTAATATTTCTTATGTTTAAAGGGTTCTACTGTTTACCATGGATAAATCTAGCCATCAATAATTGCAGAATTGCCTCGAATCGAATTGAAATTATAAATGTTTCGCGCGTGTAATCAAAAGATTCCGGCCTCGTCTTGCATCAAGGTCGCAGTTACGGACTTTTCGCCGAGTTTTATTTCAAAATTCGTACTAGACTAGACCTAAAAATAGTTTTCGGTCGCCTAAATTCAATTCATCGTATGTCGCTTTCGAAATTCGCTTCTAACTCTATGTTATGAAATGTTTACGGAAAAATGGAATCATTAAATCCGGAGAATCTGCTAAAATTGCAGTTCGTCGGAGATTTACTCGCAGTGCTTTTGCAAGCCTACAAAATTTTTTATGCTTTAGCCAAAATTGTATTTTAAGCTTAATAAAACTGTTTTGGCGTTGCAATGTATTAAAAGTCTCTCGTTACGCATAAAGGAATTGTCACATCGAAAACAGTGTCGAGGTATGGCTCTTTTTAAACCCGAAGAGCTTGTACTTGTAGCGAATTTTAGCTACTTTGCAGGAAGTTTCACGTTACAGTGTGACTATTTTGAGAGATATTTCCAATATTAATCCTGCAGAAATTGTTTAACAGATACTTCTTCAATAAAAACATCTTTGTTCCGCAGTTTGCATTCCGATGAGTTTGTGTTTATCAAATCCGGTCTGTGCTCAAATTTGCCAGCTTGCAGAAAACAACGCATTCGAGCTAGAGAAAGCTCACATCTCAAACACGAAGTTCCTTGCCATGACTTTTTAATAAACCACCAAACTGTTGCGATTAAACCCATTCAGCTTGATCTTTAATTCCAATTTGACCCATGCTCCGAGCCACAATTTCTTAACAAGAGATTTGTTTTGCTTTTTCCGTCGTCCTCATCATTCTACATGTCATTTAGGTCTGGAACTCTGTGCGTCAGATCTCCTCCTGTCGCTTGGCTTGTGTTTGACGGGGCTACTCGCTCCCGATGCACTGTAAAATTGATCAGACCAGCTCACGACACTCGCAGCTCTGCTACTGCGACCCCGCTCGTGAGCTGACATGCGATCATCCGCTTCAGAGTTAAATATATCTGCAGAAGTCTCCCGTATTGGCGACAGTGCCCTCCTACCTCCCACTGGCGACTTGGATGAACGACGCGAGCTACGGTAGCTCGATCCCGTGGCCTGTGGATTTCCCGTATTCATAGCATCTTTGTTCTTTCCTATGACTAGATTTGCTACCTTGTAGTTCGCCTGATGACTGAGGCTAGATGTATTACTTAACCTTCTGTCGCCGGTGAGCCGGCGATCGGGAGATAGCCCGCTTGAATTTGAAGCCGAATCCACAGACCCCTCGGATCGCGATGTTCTAGAAGTTCTCGGACTCAAGGATTTCAAACCCTGTATATTATTGTCTTTATTCATAGCTAAACGTTTAGTGGCCATTGCAGTTACCGGCGTAAGAACTTTCACTGTGAGTATAAGTCGTCGAGTCATCTGCATCAAGGCACTCACATCTTGTATGCTCATAGTCCGCACATCCACTTTATTCACCCTAACGATCTCGTCGCCGACTCGTAACAACTCGAAAACGTCCACATCTGTTCCTAAAACAACACGAGACACAAAAATACCTTGTTCACGTTCCCAACCATCACCCTGGCGAATATAAAATCCTAGCGTCTCTCCTGGTTTACGCCGCAGCTCGATCGTGCGTTGCAAAAACGTTCCGTTTTTCGAGCAAGCCTCGCGGACGCCCAGCACGTGTCTGAATGAGCCTTGTATGATCTTAATAGGCAAAGGTGGACAAGGGTCGCCTTTAGTGTCAGGTTCTGTGATATCAGTTGCTTTTCTGATCGCAAAAAACTCATCCTCTTTCTCAGCCAGTCGCATTTTTTCAAAGTCTTCTTGCGAGACGCTACTGAACCGACGTAACCGCTCCACTATGTCGTCGTCGCCTGACTTGGTCGCCGAAGGGAAAGGTTTCCCATTCGGCGACGAGGGTTTTTTCCTCGCGTCTTCCTGCCGTACAGCCATGTTTTTTTACTCTGCGTTTCCTACGCGTCCATCAGGGCCGCCATATTGCTTGAATTCAAAATGAAAAGTTTGCATGCAATTAAAGAATATTGTGGCAACCAGCCAATCACAGTGCGCCTTCCAAGACAGGTGTACAGCGTCACACAAAAACAAAGCTCAGAGCTGGTTGCCAGTCAATTTTTTCTTCGGCCGCAGAAAACAATTAACTACGTAGATATTTTGGCGTGAAAACCAATAAAAGGATTCCCTTTGAGAGCGTATCACTTGGAGAAGTATAAACAAGTCGCGTTTGATCGAAAACTGTTCGGCGAGCGAAGAATTGCTTTAATACACGTCTCACGTTGGCGTGAGGATTTTGCGTACTTCGCTAACGCAGTACTTAAAACAACAAGTCTTCATTCATTACGGCGATATTTTCGATGGAGGTGGATGCTAAAATTTACGGAAACGTTAGTAAATTGATTGCGAAGTGCTGAAATGACGTGAATAAATGGAAGCGAAGAAGTTGTTCCGCTTGGATACGAAAAAAAAAATAGGTTCTCGAATTTTAAGTCTCGTCTGAATGAAGTGATATTTGTTCGCTAATGACAACCGTTCACTTTTTCTCCCTTTGATATTTTGAATCTCCTTCGTTGATCACTGAGTTATTTACGTAAACTCACTTTACCGGAATCAGTCGAAGATTCTAGATCTGTCGAAAAAGTAAAATCGTTTAAAACGACATTTAGAATTGAGCTCTACTGATGTGTCAAAGGTACGACAGAAAATTATAATTGCTTTGCTTCCGTGGAAATTAGCATTTCAACAAGATGCGCCTGTTATTATCGACAGAAAGTGTTTCGGTCTGAACTGAGAGGCTGTTTACGGCTTTTCGAGTCATTCAGCTCTACCCTAAGTGTGTTTGCAATTTTTGTTCGATTATCTGCTTTGTTTGAAAAGCCGTGGCAAATTACACGAGTTTTTTTGTGACGTCAAAGGATTATTTTTATCCTTAGTTCCGTACAGAAACGTGTTCTCAGTCGATTGTAAAACCCACTTTAGATAAAAATTGCGTCATCGCTTCCGAATTTTTAAACTTCAGTTGTGGAATTAAATCCGTCTCAAGCTTCGATACCCATCATCACGTTTCTATACCTTCCTATATTTAGATTCATCGCCTATTCATTTCCGCTCATAAATTGTTATTCAAAGTTGAATATAGAAAATACGTGTACTTAAGTGCCAACCATTTTCTTACGACGTGGGAAAACGGAATTCGAACTTCAATTTTTGTTCTCCGTTTTCCCACTACATTTAAAAACCCAAACTCGAACCTTTGTTTTCCGCCTCCTTGCTACATTGAATAACAAAATTTGAACTCCTACTTTCGTTTTTCGTCTTTCGTTTTCGTTATACATTGAAAAATGGAATTTAAAATTCGATTTTCGTTTTCCGTGTCCGAGTTTTTGTCCTTTCTGTATTTCACCAGAACGGGAAGAACGTTGGCACTTCCTGTCGGTAACAAAAGGGCCTGGAAACCACGGTGACGATTTGGCGGGAATAACAAAAAAAATGGCTGCCTTAGGAAATATTTGATAGTGTAGTCTGATAGTCCAGATGAGTGTAGTCCTGAGAAGGACTGTTGTCGGTGACGGACGTTTCGATAACTTGAGCGGAAGTCATCTTTAAAGTCAAGCGAATAGTTACGGAAATGACAGAAACATGGAGATGAAAAACAAAAATCTAAGTTTAAATTCCGCTTTTCGCTATCTTTCGAAAACAAAAGACAAAAAACGAAAGACGAAATGTAATTTACCTGATCCTCTCCTAAGGCTCTGTAGTATTTCTAGCGATCTACCCACATTGACAGTCAATTTCCTATAATTCTTCCTCCTCCGTTTATACTCTGTTGGTGACGATTGATCCTCCCTCTGGTCGCCCCCTGAAAACCATATGACTTCCCCCCCCCCAATTTCGTCTGCCGCCCTCCTCGCCCAGGCAATAAATAATTACCGGCCCTAACTGGCAACGATATCTATTACTACGTGGGGTGAATAGGCTCATGAATCGGCCAGCGGTTTTGTCCTTAATAAGCTGTTCTAGATAGCTGATTTTTTTGTAACAAAATAAGAGGAACAGCGCAACCCCCTTATCGTTATTTTCTTACACTCGATTTAATGTCGTAAAAAAAACATAAACCTCAGTAATCGCAACGACTACTTAGAATTACATGTAAGCGAAATTTAACAAGAAGTCAATAAGATCTCGAAGGAAAAAATTAGTGAATCGCCGGAAGCGCGAGAAAACGCAGGTAATCAAGACGCGCTTGCAATTGAGTTTAGTTTTGAATCTGATTGGTTGATGAAGGGGCGTGTAAGTTTTTCTGGATCAATCTGAGAGCTAAAAAAGCAGAAAGAAAGGAATCCCAAGATTCACTTGAATCTGATTTTCGAGGAGGTTTTGACTAGATGTTTGTTCTAGTAAGTACCTGAAAAAGAAATCGAGTTTACTTTTGCAAGGAAAAATTGTTTGGATATAAACTCTCCCTTTACTTTCGCGAGTATTTGACAATTTTTTAATCGTATGATTCAAAGCCAGATTAATTTTTTTTCTGATAGAAAGATAAACCTCGACATACTGTTAGTTATTCTTAAATGAAAAAGGGAAGTTGCCGAACTTGTTTAGAGACATGGGGTCAAAAAGCTGACATCGAATGTTTCTTAGAGGCTCTAAAGTTGCTATGATAACTTCTTTTATCATGATTGAGTATATTGTGATGAATTTTTCCAAGAAACGTATAAAAAAGCGTCCGTGCCGATGTCTCCTGGATTCTGAATTGGCGTGAAGAAATAACACAATCATGTTGATGATGATGATTACATTTTTATTATTATAGATCAAACTAAACACTTGCAGACATACGTGCAAGTTTACAGCGAATCTACAAACATTAAACTAAATAAAATTAAAAAGAGACCTATTTATAAAACAGCGCTTAAAATGCTCTGTGCGAACACATGGCAACTTATAATCATGACCACGCTGGCGTAAAGGACGTGCACGTTTGCTAGGAGGGAGATCAGCCATATAATGCGCGTTTTTGTGACTTTCTCCCACAATTGTTTATTCCTAGTTAAAATTACATTGTTGATGGATATGCGATCCTTGAGCCACCTTAGGATTGTTTTATGTACGCTCTCTATGTTTTTCGGACTAGACCTCTCTGACATGTTTGTTTTGTTATCCATTTCAGGCCTTAAACAGGGAATTCAATTCCCAGTTTTATCTTTTGTAAATGAAGCGTAAATGCATATGCACGTGAAGAAGAGGAAAGAAACTTATGGCTCTCCAGAGTATTATGAATGACCTGAAATGGGTAAACAAAAGCGTGACATACAAGCTTAAGATGTTTCATGCATCGTCGAGGTATAGGTAAAGTGATGCCTCGTTTCTTTTCAAAAGTGATCGGACGGGCCTTCTCTCCTAAAGTTTCCGCTCCATGGTGAGAGGAAAAAACGAACGCAAGCGATCTATTTTGTAGAATTTTCCTGCAAATTTAGTGTTAAACTCGTTTGGGTCCGTTGTGGCCGCCCGTTTAAACGTAATTGTTTTCCAAAGTGTTTTCCATAACCACATGCGAACAAACACATACTAGGCCATTAATATTAGCACTTAGAATTGACTTGGTAACATAGTTTTGGTCGTTATTTGATCGGAATGCCTTTAATTGATCATCGGAAAACTGAGCAGAAACCAACTTTACGGTAGATAACGTTTAGTAAGTAAATAACACAATTGTAAAATCACTGACAGCTTCCAAGGTGAAATGAAAACTTTGTTCAATGAATGCCGTGTATCTCATGTTGTCGAACATAATTATATAATTACATGGTCAGGGAAGGTTTCTTTTTCTAAAGCACAAAACGACAATTTCGCTTGTTTTCTCGAAACTGTAGAGACTTGAAGTCAGCAATTGACAGTCAACAAATTACATGTGGTATATTCTTAGACTTTTCTAAGGCCTTTGATACAATTAACCATCATATTCTCTTAGGAAAATTATACAAATATGGGATCCGAGGAGTCCCCCATGCATGGTTTTCGAGCTATATAACTAATCGTAAGCAATATGTCAAAGTTGGTAATACAGAATCTAGCCTGAAAACTATTACCTGTGGTGTACCCCAAGGCTCCACACTAGGTCCGTTGCTGTTTCTGTTGTATATTAACGATTTGCCTAGGTCTTCAGAGATATTAACTTTTAGGATTTTTGCAGATGATACAAATATGTTTTATTCTTCAAAAGACCCTGAGCAGCTCCAATCAGTAATTGATGAAGAACTCAGAAAGGTCTTAAAACTGTGCAGCAAATATGCTGTCAATTCATTTCAAGAAGACTAATTATATGATAATTACTTCACTAAAAAGAGAACAAATATCAGAATAACAGCTTGCAATATAGAACAAAAATCTCAGACGGATGAAATATTTGGGGGTTTTTATTGATGAACATTTAAAATCGGATGCTCAGCTCCAGCACATAAACAATAAAATAACTAAAACATCGGAATTCTATTTAAGCTTAGACATTATTTACCTGTGAGCACACTCAAACAACTGTACTATACTCTCATATATCCATATCTAACATATGGATTGATGTGCTGGGGAACTGCATACCAAACCAGGTTAAATAAAATCAAAATAAGTCAAAACAATGGTATCTGCAGCATTTTCTTTGCTAGCAAAAGAGAAAGTTTTACACCATATTTCACACTATTAGAAATCTTAAGATTAGAGAATATTTTTAAATTAAAAATTGGCACTCTTGTGCATAAAATTCAATATCAAAAAAAGAATATATCTCCAGCCCTCTATGATCTAGCCCAACCGGCTTCAGCTGTCCATAATTACTCTACTAGGTATGCTACTAATCAAAACTTGTACAGACCATTCTCTAGAACCAATTATGGTCTAGCAAGATTTAGTGTGGTGGCATCACAGAACTGGCAAACGATACCTTCTCCCTGCCAAAAGCTTTAAAAATGAATATAAAC